CACAGAAAGAAGTGAATGAAACCAAATATACCTCCACCTTAGTTTTCATTAAGGTGTTTTTGTTTGTTAAGCATGCAAGGATTAGAATTAACTGCAAATGTTACTGAATGAACACATGAGTAAACTACATTCAAACAGTGTTTGATGCTAATCTTATAACAAAGATTAAATTCAGTGACAGACACCATCCATACAAAATAGAATTGAAAGAAGGTTTTCCTAAAAGATAGGGAAAAAATAAGAGGAAGAAGATAAGTTTGTTTCTGCTTTGATAACTCATTTCATTTCCTGAAGGAGACATATTAAATAGCACAAGATAATTTCATACATTGACTTATTTTCAGGCAGAAAGACTCAATTCATGAAAGAGTAGACAGAAAGAGAAAAAAGAGGTCAGATCAACTTATCTTTCCTTTCTCCCAGAAGAATGGAGTTTTAGGAAACATGCCAGCATTTTGTTTTTTTCATAATAAATAGTTTGCAAAAGATCTAGGAGTAGGGAAAATTCAGGAAATCAGTGAGAGTTCTACTGCAACATGACATTAGCACTAACTACAAATTAAGTCCTGTACTAAAGTGACACAATATCTTATTGATCCAGAAGTTGGGGGAAAATGATATGTTACATTAGAGATGAATTCTGGATTAAAATCATCATTCATTAATTTCACTCAGACATTTAGATTTAAATAACGTCAACTCTAGAGTTTTTCTTTATGGGGCAAACAAACATTTCTATGACAAATTCAATGATTTTCATTTACTTCATTTAAATAATAATTATTTAGTTAAAAAGCTCAAGTATAAAATTGAGGTACTCTCTTATTGATGCGATATTTTTATATCTAATGAATGGAGTGGTCAATATCTTCTCTTTAGGCTCCAAAAATGTGCTGATAAAAGTCAAGGTACTGACATAAAATGAGACTACATAAAAAGTATTAGGACTGGTTACTCTATTCATATGCCAAACATAAATGCAGATACATTATAAATCTATCCCAGACCTTCATTGAATTTCTGTATTTCCCATAATCACTCTCAAACTTTATTAGTTTTTTTTTTATTTTGTTTATTTTAAACTATGTTATTTTTTCCTTTGTTTTCAGTGCTAGGGATCAAACCCTGTACTCATGCATGTTAAGTAGGCACATCTCCACTGGGCACCATCTCCAGCCCAGTTTTAAAAAAAGTTTGTGACCAAAGAATAGCATCATATGTGATGGAATTATTTACTGAATGAAAAAAAAATAATGCTTAACAAATACATAATGAATGATAATTCATGGTATATATTTTGTCCCTCATTCGTTCAGCCACTCAGTCATTAACATGTCATTTTTAATGTCTATTGCTTTTTTGCCAACTTTGGTTTAGAAACCCAATTAAATGTGCACTATTCTGTTTAATTCTCTCTTCTCCATCTCTCAACCTTACTCCCCAGCCCACATGTACATTTATTCATACTTCAGTGGTATTTAAATTGAAGATAAGCTTTACCATTGAGATACAAAATGATTTAATTGCCCTTTGACTAGATGCAACATTTCCATTTAGTCTTTTTTATTATTTTAAATTTGCAGTCATTCTCAAAATGTACTTCTTACTTTTTAAATATATTAAACAAAATTATAAAATGTGTCTTAAAACCCAGTATCTGTGGGCTTGTATCTTTATCTACTTTTTCTGTAGATAAAGATATCTCTTTTTATATCCTCTATGTCTTGGTTCTGTGTTTTGTGTGTGTACATGTCTGTGTGAGTGTGCATGTGAATGCACGAGCTTGTGAGTGCTAAGCATAGGAATCACTGTACACACAGCTAGTTCATATGATCTTCCTTAGAAACATATATATTTAATTCTGCCATTGTGACTTGGAGTTCTAAGAATTGAAAATAGTACACTCAAATTTCAAATGATGAAATGATTATAAGCTTAATTACAGCTTCTGTAATGGCCTATCAATTTCTGACTTCCCACTTCCTTTAGCTTATAGACATTTAGGTCTCAACCTACAGCTGAACAATGATTTTTAAAATCTCAGCTGGCAAAAGTAAAGCACTTACTCTTTTTTTAAGTACCTCTCTCCAGAGTCAACATGTGTCAACATGTGTCCCTCGGTGAAAAGCAACGCCACAGATGGCTCACCTCCCTAAACCTTCCTCAAGCCTTGGTATTTCTCTTAAAATACTTTTTAGGGACTGGGGTTGTGGCTATGTGGTAGAACACTTGCCTAGCACCTGCTGGGCAACAAGGTTCAATTCTCAATACCAATATAAATGAATAAATAAAAATAAAGGTCCATCAACAACTAAAAAATATTTTTAAAATATTTTGTTAATTCTCTTCCTTCAAAAATAAAGTTTTCACATTTTTACTATTTTTAAAGTTTCTTTTTTCCTCAGTTAAAACTTTGCTCTGGGCTATTTGTAAAGTATGTTCTACAACTCTCCTTTCTCTTGACTCAATGAATGTGAAAGAGAGAGAGAGTGTGTGTGTGTGTGTGTGTGTGTGTGTGTGTGTTTGTATATACATACACATATAAAATTGAAAGGTAAATCTGTAAATATTTAGAGAAAAACTGAAAAGATGGAACAAAATTTCACTATAACAGTGAGAAACTTGACTGCCACCTTTAATCTTTCATTTATTTGGCTTTCCAATTCCAATATACCTGCATAATCTTTTGATTTATTTTTAAATTGTGTTAGCCTACCAATACAGCATTATTCTTTTCACTACTATATTCAACTTAAATAACAGGCAAATGGAAAAATCATAAATTTTTATTTTCACACTTAATTTTTTTTAAAAAATTCTTCATTCCTGACACATTTGCTTCAGTGTATGTCAAACAATTGGCAAACTATAGAAAAGTAAATTTAGATTATATGATTTTATGAATTTATGAAGATAAAAGGTCCCTGTAGTGAAAGCAGAGTTTGCTGCTTGTACTGGCAGGTGGGTTGCTCATAAATGTCAGCATGACTGGTCATCTTCATAGAAAATTTTACTTGCAGAAAATTTGAAATTTATTGCATCTACAGACAATTAACACTGCATTAATAAGCATAGTCAGAAATATTAATATTTTATTTATAGAACTAAAAATTTAAAAGCTATAAAATATTTTCCATGATATTATAGGACAAAATAAAACTTACTACAATAAGGATATTTCTGTATTGGTAGGCATTTAATTAAAATCATTTATTATTTTTTGAGCAATGGGAAGAAAATCTGTATTACCAAAGCACCAACCAAAAGAAAGCTCAAGTATGTCTAGTAATATGAAAGAAAATGAACCTTAAAACAAAAACTACTATGTGAGATAGGATGCCCACTACCTGATGAAGAGAATAATTCCATATGTCTTAAACAATCCTAAATTTTCATGTTCTCCAAAAAGTTTTAGAGTACATGAACACATAAAATAATAGACCTATAAGCAAAATACTTAAACCCAAGTAGAAAGATGGAGATTTCAATAACACTGGTTCAACAATCAATAGAAAATTTATACAGTAATTCAATCATTCATAGTTGATGATAAAATCATCAGAGAACTTGAACTAATTGACATTTACAGAACAAAATCCCACCATCAACAAAAAAGGACACTTCTCAGATCCACACAGAACATTCAACACTCCAGACCACAGGTAAAACATCAAAATGTATCATTGTTGGTATCATACAAAGTATGTGTTCAATATCAATGGGGCTGGGGTAAATAGCTTAGTGGTACACATCACATTGCATACTTAAAGCACTGAGTCCATTCTTGGACTCGTGTGTCCTGTACACACAGGAGAAAGAGATAGTTAATATATAACATCCCTAATATTTGGCAATCAAAGAGCATAACTCTTAATAATCCATAAGTTAAAGATACAAATAGAATTTTTAAAAACTTCGACAAGATTGACATTATAGGTAAAATCTATTGAGTGCATTAATATAGTGTTGAGAGGAATATGTGTAGCAATAAACGTTTCCATTAGAAAGAAAGTTTTAAAATAATTAACCTGAGCATTCACATTGAAAAAAAAATTTCAATCTATGTCAAAATATTACAAATATTAAACTCGGAATCAGTAAACTAGATAAAAGAAAATGAATAAGGAAAATTCAATACGAACCTGGATATTTTTTTTAAAAAATTGATAAATTCCTAACTGTATTGATTGAAGAGGGGGGCAAAAATTGTCAATATCAGGAATAAAAGAAGAGGTATCTTGAATGATCCCATACATATTACCAGGAAAATGATATATACTACATAATGCTTGATCCCTAAATTTGACAATTTATGTGAAACAGATAAATTACTAGAAATACATTTTCTATTACTTATTTAAAATGAAAAGGAAACTTGAACTGGCAACCCTCCTTCCTCAGCCTCCTAATAACTGGGATTACAGGTATATGCCATCATGTATTGCCTGTGTCTAATTTTTAAATCAACTTCTTATTTTGAATCAATAATGTTTGAAATTATATATATATATATATATATATATATATATATATATATATATATATATATATATATACCTCATTTATATTTATACATAAATAAGTACACCTACCTTGCTAAAAGGTCCCTGTAGTGGAAGCAGAGTTTCCTGCTAGTACTGGCAGGTGGGTTGCTCCTAAGTGTCAAGCCTCTGCAACCAAGCAGCTCTCGATTGTAGGCTCTGCCCACCAGTATTCCTGCAGACCACAGAAGCTCACCACCAATCTTCTTTAACAAATTGCCAGTGTTCCGAATTCAAAAGAGGAAGAGCAGCTTTGCAGACACCAACACAATTTACCGCTTGAGGGTGCACAGCTAGTGGTATATATACCTCTTGGGTCAATGCCATTGGTTCACGTTTATGCTAATAAGGGTTTGGAAAAAGTCGCAACACTATTGGTCCAAACTTATTAACTGCCTGTGTTACCACCCCCCCCCCAGGGGAACACGAAAGTGAGGGCGGAGCACCTGAGCTGGCCAATAGAGTGTGTCCATTTCCAACCACCGTTAGCTCAGAAGTCGTTACCTTGTCTGTAGTTCCCAGCGCTGGAGCCGCAGCTGTAGGAACCGCCGCCACTGTAGGAGCGGTCGCCAAGCCATCACAGAAGCCGCCGCCTCTGCCTGAGCCACCGCCTGAGCCACCGCCAGAGCCAGAGCCGGAGCCTCAGCCAATGCCGCCACTGGAGGAGGAGCGGACACTGAGCAGGAGCAGACGCCAAAGCCGCTAACGTAACCGTTAAGACCACTACCGGAGCCAATGCCGGAACCAACGCCGCCGCTGTCCACCCAGAGCCAACGCTTTCGCTGCCAGAGCACTGGAACCTTTGAAGCCAACACTGCACTTAGAGGGTAGGAGCTGCTGCCGCTGCCGCTGCCTCTGCTATTGCGCCAGCCCGGAGTCAACTCCATCGCCGCTGCTGCAGGAGCACAGGAACCTTGGTAGCTAATGCCGGGTGTGTAGGAGCCGCCGCCTCCCGGGAGCCACTGGAATGCTGGAGCCAAGGCCACAGGAGCTCAGAGCCGGCCACGTCAGGACCTAAGCCGAAAGGAAGCTGCGCAAGACTTGGCTGTGATCCCCAGCGGGTAAGGAGGGCGCGAGGAAGGACTAGACAGCCTCCGCCGCTTCCACTGCGAGATCACCCGCGCATTTCTGGCTGATCCCCCAGGGGTGAGACCCAGCAGAAGTCTTGGAGCACCTTGAAGGAGGAGGTGGGTGCTGGGACCCCCTCGGGGAGGGTGCAGGCTTCTTGGGTGGGGGGGACAATGGCTTCTCTAGAGGTGCTCCTTGTTGTTGGAAGCCACCACGTTAGAGGCGGGCTCATCCATTGTGGGCATCTACCTCCACAGGGTTGGAGATCTGTTGCTGCCCCTGCGCAGGGAGCATGGGTGTGTGTGTGTCTGTCTATCTGTCTCTGTGTGTGAATTTTCCCTTTGTGTTTTATGAATTAGTTCCAGGGCTTGTGGTGCAGTTTTAGTGTTTTCTGATAAGGAAATGTGCATGGGTTTTCCATTCTAGAGTTTTATCATAAGATAAAGGTCGTATACAGGAATCACAAAAATCGCCAACAAGCATTTCTTAGGTAGGTGCCATGCTTAAGATGGATAAGCCATCTCTCAATAAGTTCTCCATAATCAGTGTTTTCTCTGCATTAAAAAGAACAGTTTGTTTTCATTGGCATACTAGTTGGAGGAACTTACATTAAGAACCCTCATGTGTGAAAACATAGATTTTGAAGCATGAGAATTACTTTCAGTGCAGTAAGGAGTTCATCCTGAAAGGCACCTGTGAACTGAGCAGATTTCAAACCTCATCTGTGCACACTGAATCTTGTGCTCGTTGGTTGGCATGATAAGGGAAACTATAGCAGTTTTCTCTTCTCCCTGAGTGCACGGTCTTAAATTTCCCTAAGTTAAATTTATTAGGTTATTACCTGTCAGATGTGGGGCTTAGGACAAAAGGATGAAAGAAGGCATGTATAACTCTTATCAGATATTGGAAAGTTATGAATCAAACTAACAGATGGTTCAGTAAGATATATTCCATGACAAAGTGTCCTCTTTGCCAAATTTACCTCAGTGGACCTGTGTTTTTTTTTTTTTTCAAATGTAGAATTTTCAGATTTATTGGACCTCCACACTGAAATGCAAAGAAGGGCTGCCTCTCCTGATGCTCTTTTCCCAAGCCTGGCTCCTGTGTCCTCATTACCCACTTATAGTCATTGAAGGTTCTTGCAGAAACATATATGGGCATCTTATCCCATGTGTCTAAGCTCTATCCATACCCCTTAGAAATACCTGCCCTTTAGCCACCACCAAATACAAGGGCTGTCACCAGTGGACTTGGGCTTGATTACTGCATAGGAGCACATTCCCTATTTTTAAAATGAAGAGATGGATTAAATATTATCTATTCATTACAACTTAAAACTTCAAGGTTTTAGGAAAGAAAAAAAAGATTTGATTAAATTATTTAGGTTAATTATTAACTCCAAATGTTTAGGAAATTATCCAATGTAAAGTAGACAGTTTTGCTGTGCCGAAGTATCTACAAAGTAGTTTAAGAATGGTGAATTGATTTTCAATTATCACATACTGTTTGTTTTAAGGAAACTCAGCTTAGGCTTATTGTAATTTGCACTGACAGAGAAAATCAGTTTTCATTTCTTTTTTTAATATTTATTTTTAGTTATAGGCAGACACAATATCTTTTTATTTTATTTTTTATGAGGTGCAAAAGATGGAACCCAGTGCCTCATGCATGCTAGCCAAGCACTCTACCTCTGAGCCACAACCCAGACCTTCATTTTTTTTTACAAATCTAAAACCCATGGGATTAATCACTTGTGTTCCCCTGCTAGTATCTTGGGGAAACTCAATAATAAGTAAAACACAGAGAATGAATAAAGTCATGTGACTTTGAAGCAAAACATGGTAAAATGATACTATTGAGATGTCTTTTTTATTCTATTTGTAGACAGGATAAAAAGTAAAAAAAACAGAATGAAAAGTTCAGGCTTTTTTTTAAAAAAAAAGGTTTTTAAAGCACAGTGTTTGAATTATATTCATCCAAGAAATTCTGAATTTTTTTCTGTGTCAGTTTTGGGAGGCACCCTTGATGCAGCTATGGAATTTATTTCTGGTCCACAGAGAGCTAGCTCTTCCATCAGTGGAGGATGCTCTGGCCATCATGGCATACTTAGATTGTTGTCCTCCATCCTCTTTCCTGAGTATTTAGATTACTCCAGATCCCTTTGAATTTCCTATGTAGATGCTCATTGTGGGTATTATGACCACAGGAATGTACAGGGAAGCATTGCCCCAAACTGGCACCCTGATTCCCAAGATTGGAATGCCCAGCAATTTCCCCCTGAAACTATTAAGATAACTATGTAGGTGTGCTATCTATTTTCTATGGTGATGTCACAACTAGTATGAGAGAAGGGGCTCTGTGTTTGTATTAATCTGTACCTTTATCTCAGTTAGCAAGTCCTCAGGATTAAAGAAATACTAAGTTAGAATGTAGTCATGGTAATGGGAGCTAGGTAATTTTGGAGATAATAAACACAGCTGTTGAGAGAAGCAGCCACTTTTTCTTCTTGCCTCTGCACTGTTTGTGTGTGTCTCTCTCCTCTGTTCTCTTCTTAACAGGTTTCTTTACAAGAATATCTTTACAGCTCATTGTCCATGTTTTTTTCTGACTCTTTCTGATGGGTAAGAAAAGTCTTCTGGCATCAAAATGAAAAGCTGAATTCTTTGGCCTTAAGATCTTGTTAAGAGAGATGATTCAAACTTATTTAATAGATCCCAAGTTTAGGATCTTTATAAGAGATTTGGCAATAGATACAAGCTTCTGAATGAATTAAGGAAGAATCAAGTAGTGGGGAATAGCTGGAGGTTTGTGTGTTGTCTGGCATTCAACTCAGCTCCTCTTTCCTTGGTTTCTTGGGATAGGAATGTGAGACTACCATTATTCTAGGATTTACATCTCTGCCAAGGGATGATTATAAGCTGCTGATGAAAGAGGCATTTCATTGCATATGTTTTGACACATGAGAATAGGTTAGAGTGACCTCCAAATAGCTTTCTTCATTCAGGGAGGACCACAAGATCATGTCACTCAGTAAATTACAGAAGGCAGCAGGATGGTGATGGATGACATTTGAGTTGTTCACTCTCTATTTCCTAGTGTCTCTTTATTTCTGGCAAAGCTCAACATATGGTCAGCTGCAATAATTCTTTGTTGCTAACATGGTAGCTGTTGCTTGGGGAGTAGGTGGGGTCAGTTTTGTCAGATCAGTAGGCCACAGCTGCCAACACCTACCTAGATTGAAAATTGAACAGAAAATCTGAAGAGTTATCTGATGGTTTTGTAATTGGAAACTATGAAAATACAATGCAACTAAAATTCACCCATTTTGCATGATTTTGAAATGTCAATTTTAGCTAATTATAGAATTTCATCATAATTACCTTTTGTCCTTTTAGTGTTGAATCTTATCTGTATCCAGCCTCTCATAAAAAATTTGAGTGGTGACTTTCTAGTCCCTTTTGCTGTCACTTTCTATAAGAAAAATTAGCATTTGACTTCTTAACCTCTGAAAAGGCACAACTAGTATGAGTTTCTGGAAGAATGAAAGAGACTGAATTTCCCTTATAAATGTGTGTATCTATGGACTGGTGTTTTTGTTAAGTCAGTGGAAAGGTTATGGAATCTAACATTCTTCGACCAATGAAGTGCTTTTGGTGTTAAGCCCTGGTGAGCTGACTATGCTGTTATATCTCTCTCTGACCCAGGACAGTGATCAAGACATTTTTTTATCCATGGGGCTATTGCTCATAATAGAGACTAAAATGGGGGTCTGACTGTCATGAAACTGCTGCCCAAGGAGGAGTGGAAGGTATGTTAATTTTTTTTCTTATGGCCTTTTGCATTCCATGGAATACCAATGCAGCATCAAAAATCGAGGGAGTCACAGACCTCTCAGGCCACATGCCTCTGAAAGAGGCTATGACATGTTCAGGACTTTCTGGCAACTGTTGGGCAGAAATCTAATAATTTGGATTTTCTTCTTGCTCCCTTTCCAGTCCATCTTCCCTATCATATGACTTGCATTGGGTTCTGGTATTTTTTTTTTTTTTTGATACAAGAAAAGCTTGCAGGATCCAATCAAATTCAAAACATGTTATTTCCCTAAACCCTACACTGCAAGTTCTAGAAAGACAAAACAATGGAGATAGTGCATTCTTCACAAATTTGTGCTTCCTGTACTGGAAAATCTGGGCAATACATGTCAGTTCTATTAGGCCCAGTTTGATGATTTGGCATCCCTTGGAAGATACAAAGGTTTCCTTTATGCATTTTTTAACAGGAATTTAGTGGCAGAAGAAAATATTTTTAATTGTGTTTTTTTTTTAATTTTAATTATTATATACTAGAGAGGATTGGGCCCAGTGCCTCATATGTGCTAGACAAATGCTTTACCACTGAGCCACAACCCCAGCCTCAGAAAATGTTTTTAATATGAAAATGTTTTGGGTTTCAAACTCCCAGTAGTGTTGGTCATTTGAAAAGAGTGACTTTAGTTTTGACTGTTGTTTTAAATCACACTAAGAGTCAGACCAATGGAGTGATTGCGTTTTTTTGAATTGCCATGAAGAACTGGTGACTTGTATGTATAAGATTTTGGCTTAGTTCATTAGTATTTAAGAATTTGGATTATTTTCAGGAAGGAGAGATCCACTGTAGTGATGAGAAGTATGGGTTTTTAGGTGAGGCTACCTGGGTTTGAATCTCATCTTTGTCACTCGAATGTTGTATAATCCATGAAGAATCATACAATCTGTCTTAATGTCGCATCTATAAAACAGGAATAATCAATAGTGCCTCCTTTAGGTTTGTCATGAAGATTATTTGCAAATACATGTAATAGATAGAGGAGTCCTTAAAAAAATCTTAGAATGTCCAGAGATCAAGAAATATTAGATCTTATAATAAGCTTTTCCAGAAAAGATGTAATGTATACCACAAGAGTACCCACCTTATAACAGAGCTTTAATGAGGCATAAATTAAATTATTTTTTTTACCCAATGGAGCTAAAGTAATTGATTACAGCTGTATGCCAGATATTCATAGGGTGCAGGGATTTTACTAATGATCAGGTTAGATATAGTTCTTGTTCTGATGGAGCTTACTGTTTAGTGGAGACTT